ACGACTACACCGGCTATGGCCTGAGCAGTGGTCACCCATACGAAGAGCATCTGTACGCCGACATCGATTCGGTCATGTCTTCGCTCATGTATTTGTACGACATTCAGCCCGAAGACGTCATACTGTTCGGTGAGTCCATCGGTTCCGTTCCGACCATCGATTTGGCGACGAGACTACCGGTTAGGGCAGTCATTCTGGACGGACCTATCGTTTCGGGTTTGCGGACAATACTACCCGTCACACGACTGCTGGCCTTCGATCCCTTCCCGAACCTCTTGAAAGTGGAGAACATTGAATGCAAAGTACTATTGTTTCACGGAATCGATGATAAATTGGTGAACATTGAGGACGCGTTACTACTGTTAAACCGATGCCCGCGTCGAGTGGACCCGTTTTTAGCGGTTGGCTGCGGCCATAACCACGTTAAATATCATCCCCAATATTACAAGAGAATCCGCAAGTTTTTATATGAAGAATTGGATATTGTTTAAATATTGAGACCATTGGTGACTAAACTTACTATACAATTGAGAAATTAAATACTCGTTTTATAAAAGTTGTTAAAAAATTATTATAACCCCAATTAAAAAGCACGCAATTCTCGTTAATTATTATAATTGTCAGACAAATATTTTTGAATGTTTTGAATTTGAAAATAAATCAAATAAATTTAAGCCAAAGTTTAAATTAACATGAATTCTACGGCCGAAGAATTGTACGTTTTATTGAAGTACTTGTGTTGTCCGCCGATTGATGTAATCCCACGACTTGTCTCGACCTTAGCTTTCAGTCCTCCCGAAGAGTCTTCCTATGACTTTAAATTTGACATAATTTCAAATAAATTTCAATTATGTCCGCGAAATACAGACTACAATTCAATGGACTCTTTGGATTCAATGGACTCGTATTCACCGGACAACCGAAAGCATATAACGCCTGAAACGGACGTATTCTTTGCCGAAAGTCGAAAAGGAAACCGAATCGCGTGTGTCTTCTGGCGCTTCAGTCGTAACACAAAACAGACAATACTTTACAGTCACTGCAATTCAATCGATTTGGGATCAACTGTTGAATATCTACGCCATTTAAGTCGTAAAACCAAATCAAATATTATTACTTACGACTATTCAGGCTATGGTCTCAGCGATGGTAAGCCCAGCGAAGAGCGTCTGTACGCCGACATCGACGCCGCCCTCTCGACGGTCATGTATTTGTATGACATTCAGCCCAAAGACATTGTGCTCTTTGGCGAGAGTATCGGTTCCG